CGAGGGACGCCGCCTCATGTTCCTGCGGCTGCGTCGGCTCATGGAGTTCCACAACTACCTCGCCCTGGAGAAGGTGGGAGAAAGAAACAGGAAAAAAACGGCGTAGCGGAAAGAAAAGATGTAGACTTGGGTATTCAAACCCGCGGCTGGCCCGCGACCGCGCCTGTCACCGTGTCAAGCCGCCTCGCGTCTGAGCAGAGCAGCTGCGGCTGAAAAATGTCCGCGGCATTTGTTTTTGGCGCGCTGTAACAAAATGAAATGAATGTGGGGACGACGGAGATGATCCCTGCCTGCCTCGGCTGTGCCGGGCCAGGCTGCGCCAGGCAGAGCCAGGCTGCGCACCCCGGGGCGACCGGGTGGCTGGAAACAAGGCGGCCCGCTTTAGTGCGCCACTCGCTCGGGGAGGGGGAGGGGGAGGTGGCTGTCGTGGAGGTCAAGGGAGTGACAAAGCGACGGGTGGTGGGTGGTGCGTGAAAAATTCACAACGGGTCCACGCCCCGCCGGCCCCGCCCCGCCATCGCCGAGCTGAAAAATGAATTTCCCGCGTCGCCGTTCTTTTCGCGCTTTGGCCGTATTTGGCGCGTTGACTCGCAGCCCGCGCCGTGCGAACACCCTCCGGCACCCTGGGACGCCCTTCGGCTGCCTCCGGGCCTCGATGGCCACAGCGCCGCGACCGGCCGCGACAAACAAGACGACATGTCGATACGCGCATGGCGTGATGAGTGGAAGTGCCCCTCCCCACGATGGCGCACGACGGGCTGTTCTTTTCGCAGCTGCAGGGCGACAGAGAGGCGGCGCTGTCGACGGCCGCGACGCAAGCCCCCAACAAGACGGGGATCTGCCTCTTTGGCCTGGGCGAGGACGTCGAGGGAGGCCAGCTTGTCTTCTACGGCGCGCGCAACGGCCTCTCCTACGACGAGCTGGTTGCCGACGCGCTCGCAGGGGCCGCGCCGCAGGCCGGGCAGTCTGGTAATACACTGTCTACGTCCGTGTCCTGCACGGGGAACGTGAGTTGGGGGCTTATGAGACGACACCCCGGCCGATATTGCCCCCCCCCCCCCCAGTCGTTTGGACTGGCCATATTGTTAGGCGGTCCGGGTAGGCCAGGGCGTCTCAGAGCGACATTCTAAACTCACAGAATTCACTTCGTCTATTATTCATTCCACTCCGACTATTTTTCAATTCATCCTGGCCCTCAGGATGACTTGATGCTCGAGGGAAATGCCCCAGATGCCGAGGCTGAGCAGCCAGTCGAAGAGGTACAGCCCGAGCCGCACGGCGAGGACGACGACGACGATGACGACGAGCTGCTCGCCCTCGGCCTGGGGGGTGTTTTTGAAGCCGACGTGTCCGAAATGGAGGTGGACTTCCGATACGAGTACACCGTCTGCGAGGAGCAGGGCGAGCGCACCTTGGGTGAGCATTGGGTGGAGGCTGCGAGGGAGGCTGCGAGGGAGGCCGCGGAGCCCGCCCCCCGGTGCCACTCACACTGGTTCTCGTTCTCCAGATCGGGGGCCAACGTCCTCGTACCTGAGCGCCTTCTCCAGCATCAGCGCCGCGTGCCGGCACCTCCAGGTCCAGATCGACCTGCAGTGCGCCCTGGAGGACGCCCCTGCAGCAGTACGTCGTGCGCCTGACAATGCGGTCCGTGGTGGCGGGCTGCCGGCAGTCTCACACGCCATCCCTGTGCAGGTGCAGGAGGCCGGCGTCGTCCCCGACCTGGATCCCGGTCCTGGGCCCAGCGGCTCCACTCAGGCGCCGGCGGCCTCCAAGGACTCCAAGGACTCCCAGGACGAGGCGCCGCGGAGCTGCAGGCTGGCGGTGACCTTCCACAGCCCTCTGGCCGCGGAGGACCGCCTGCCGGGTGTCTCCACGCTGCACTGCGTCGCCGGCTAGGCCGCCCTCCCTCTTCGGCAACGAGACGATGCACGCGGCCGAGTCATCGCGTTCCCGGGGCGCGGTCTCGCTGGAGGTCTCGCTGGAGAGGCAGTGGCAGTGCACGCTGGAGCGGAATCGGAACACGAAAAATGCGGACGCGCTTCTTTTTCGGCTCCGTCGTGCGCCGCGGCCTCCGCCACCACCACCCTGCCGCCACCGCCACCCCAGCCTCACGCCAACGGGCCGGACGGGCTCCGGGCTTGTTTTCGATTCCGCGGCGGAGATCAGCATCCCCGCCCCACCCCGCCCCGCCCCGCCACATCCCGCCACTCGGAACGAGGCGGCCGTATCGGCGACGCTGTCTCCTATTTCGCGAGTCTTTATGGTGGCTGCGAGACGCGCGGCCTGGCCGGCCCAGGCCCAGCCCCGGCGGGGTGCACTGCCCGACTGCATCTCCTCAAGACTGGATGCAGGACAACCCAAAGGCATTTTAACACAAAATGTATTCAGAGTAACAGGAGTAAAATCAAATAAAGAAAATTTCAGCGAAAGAGGGCACCCCGGCGAACCGGCCCTCTTCCCCGCTGGCTTGGTGGACCAGTGGTTCCCCCATCTCATCACAGGAGCAACCTCAGAGTTAAACCGCAGTGGCCCCGTCATTGGTCACGTCAACTGTGATGTGGAGGAGTCCTCTCATAGTAGGCCAGGCTGCCACCTTTCCCAGTAGTCGGGTTTCGTTCCCGGCCCCCTTCCCACTCAGGGGCCATGCTACTGGTACTCAGGAGTCTGCGTCACCCTGCCCAGCAGCGGAACCACTGGGCTATGAGAGGCACACGGAACGCCGGCCGATTTTGTATACTTGAACTGCCTTCTTGCGATGCAAGCTTGGTCAAAATATTCGGTACCGTACTGGGTATCGAACCTTCGATCCCGCAGTTGGAATCCGACGCCTCTGTGCTCTCGGCCACCACGGCCCATGGGTGACGCCGTGCGAAGGGGAGCCTTTGAAGCCGCTGGTCCGAACCGTATAGTCAGACAAAAAGAGCGGGAAGCTGGTATTCGACCGCTCGACCCGAGTGTAGGATTCAGACACGTCAACACCTTCGGCCACCGCGGCTCACCGGTGAATCGAGTGGCGCTACTGATCCAAACCGCATCGGGAAAGCCACTCCTAAAATGTAAAGAAGTGCTGGGAGTCGAACCCTAGCCCCTGGGGTAGCGGATCAACGCCTCTCCGCGCTCAGCCGCCGCCGATTCTAGAGAATAGGTCGCAGGTCCCACTCCTGGCTCTACACTGTGGCATCCCGAGGAAATCATGATCACGCGCAGGGGCTAGGGTTCGATTCCCAGCACTTCTTTACATTTTAGGAGTGGCTTTCCCGATGCGGTTTGGACCAGTAGCGCCACTCGATTCACCCGGTGAGCCGCGGTATTTTAAGGGGTTAAGTCACCAAAACTTATGTTGTAGAATAATGTCTATCAAAACTGTTAATCATCATATTGGCCAGTGTCATTTTTTTCTTCTACTTTTAACGACACCTCAACACCAACAAGGCAAATTAAACGTCTTGTGAAGCCCCTCCCCGGCACAGTGATCGTGGAGCACTGTGTTGTGTAGCAGCAAGTGCGGGGCGGCAGGCGTCGCCTGGTGTCTCGGCGCCACCCCACCCGGCCTTGCCACCCTGGCGAGGCACGCAGCACCAAGACGCGGGGTGGTGGGGAGGGGTCAGCTTCATTAGGGCCATGTGCAAAGAGCTCTGGGTGAAGTCCCGGGCAGCGAACCCGCCCAGTCAATCCACTGGAAAGGCTCTCCAAGTCGTCCCTTCGTGTCAGTGACCAACAAGTTCAAGAGTAGAGTGTCAGCGGGAGAGGGAATCAAGGGTTGGAGACGGAGTGACAACGGTTTTCTTTTTATTGACAAGAAGACACCAGATACAAGATCAGCAACCACAGCAAAGAGAAACAGTAAGATGAGTTCATCTTTTACAGACATAAAACGAAGTAGCCCTAGCTGGTCGATTTTGATTCTCCTTCTAAAAAATATAGATCTAACAATCCGCAAGCCGGCTTAAAATAAAATAGGCTTTCTCGATCTTGCGAAATAAATTATGGATGGGGTGAGTCCCGCGTTTCGCCTCTTATTATTAGCACCATAATCGGTAAAACACATTTCTCTGCACCTATCACTCGTATCACTTTCGTAACAAGAACATTAATTCTTAATCGTCATAAATATAATTTATTCACAAATCAACGAGTACAAAAGCTAGTAACGGGACGGAGTTGAACCATACTCTCGATTTTTCGGTTTTCCTTGAACCACAATCTGCTGAGCTACAACCTCCGCTTCCTCTCTTGCCTATAACTCCTTTGACAACACGATCACAGCAATTGCAACAACAACACGTCGAAGAAAATAGTATATCTCGTGCCTGCAGGGGAAAAGTTACCTTTCGGCCCTTTCAGCACAGTGTGGGCGCACAAAGAAAGATGGGACGTGGAGGCCCAGAGGAAAACCGCGCCGGCTGCGACGGGGAGTCGCTGGGGAGCGCCTCGCCTCGCCCGCCTCGCCCGCCTCGCCGTGCCCGCCGTGCCGCGCGGGGAGAAGGAGGAGGAAGCCTGCAAGCAGACCGCACGCAAACAAACGGGCTGGTTATTTTCGGGCCGGCTAAATGGCAAACGCGCACAAAGGAAGCTCGTTGGCTGGCTGGCGCAAACGGGGGTAACTGGCAGCGGGGCGGCTGGAGTTACGGGGCTGCGCGCCGCCGCCCGGCCACGCCGCGCTACTTCCTCGCTCTCGCGGAGCGCCCCGCGAAGTCCCCCGACGACGCCGCAGAGCGCGCTGTGCCTCTCTCTTTCTCTCTCTGCTAGAGAGCTTAACAGCCGTGGGTATACATTATCGCTCTCAGATTTCGAGGTGTTAGAGGTGCCGAGACGGGCTCACCTGTTGGTCAGACGTTGGCGGAGGCGGTGGCGGCAGGGCCCCGGCGCGTGGAGGCGGGCGACGCGCAGGGCGACACGCTGGGCGAGGCGCAGGGCGACGCCGACGCGGAGGGGCAGGCGGAGGCGGGGGGCAGGGCCAGCAGGCAGACCGACGCCCCGCCGCCCCCGCCGGCCGAATGTCAGACCCGCGAGCCGCGCTCCGACGACGTGGACGCCACCGCCACCATGGACATGGCCGTCGACGAGGCGCCGCCGACGCCAGAGCCGCTGCCGCCGGGGCCCTCGCCCGCACCGGGGTCGTGGCGGCAGTCCACGTGCAGCACCAGCCCGACGGCCAGCAGCGTGGTGGCCGCCAGCAGCATCTGCAGCGACGCAATCACCGTCCTGGTGGGCGTGGGCTTGGAGCCCGCCGACGGCGGCACCCACCTGCAACGCCAGAAGGTGAGTTAGGTTAGGTTAGGATAGGTTAGGTTAGGATAGGTTAGGTTAGGTTAGGTACCCCGAGTACTCACACGTGCGGCGGGTACTGCGGGTGGTAGGGCTCGGCCAGGGCGAGCAGCGAGCGGCCCAGCAGGGCGGCGTGCAGCGCCACGGCCAGCAGCCACAGCAGCAGCACGGGCAGCGCGCCCCGCCACGCGCCGCCGCGCCACGCCGCCACGCCGTACCGCGACGCGCCGCAGGTGGGGGCGGGGGCGCGGTACCCCGAGAAGCCTCGCGAGGTGTGCACGCTGGCGGCTGCAACGAGAAGCAGGCCGTTGTGGTGACGTCGGCGTGGTGCGCCGCCGCCAGGAGGCGCTCCCCGGGTTTATCTCTGGTTGCCTCGGGGTTCGGGTCGGGGTTCGCCGCGCCGCGTCTCCGCCCCACGGACGTGAGCAGAAACGCAAGTCGCGCCGCCTTGAGCCGGCAGACTCGTTCCGAGGCGCCGCCGTTCCGTCGCTCTGTCTCTGTCGCACTCGCGGGGCGCCCCGTCGGGGTGCGAGGGAGACAGAGCGGCGAGGCGCTCCCCGGAGTCGGCCCAGGCCCGCCGGGGAGGTGAAGCTGGCTGTGTTTTACGAGGTGCTGAGCCGTGCCCCTGCCCCTCCCCTCGGCCTTGCCTTCTCATCTCTGTGCCCCGGTCTGCATTCCCCGAGGCGAAACTGATTTTTCTCTCCTCGCTCCACTCAAAGTGACTCACCCGCCGCGAGGACGCTGGCGCCGCCCGCCGGGATGCCGAGGCCCAGGTTCAGCTCGCCGTGCTCCTCGATGACGGCCACCGCGCCCATCACCATCGCCGACAGCCCGCACACAATCTGAGAAAAAGGAGGAATTTTTAAATATTAATCATCGTGCCACTTTCCTTATTTTCGGCGCTGTGTTTACCCTTTCACTGAATAATGATTCTGAGGGCCTCCCCGCTTTCGGGGAGCCGACGGACTGCCCCCGATAGGCTTTGCGCCCCACGCTGAGGCCGGCTCATTATTGGCCCAAAGAATTCCCATTCCCGCCAACCGCTGCCCGCGCCGCCCCGCGCCGCCCCGCCCAGCATTAAGTCTAGCGCGAAACCACTAGCCCGAACCCCAGCGAACACCATCGAGGCCGACGAGCGAAATAAAACGGTAATCACAGCGGAGGCCGCGGCCCTGTTGTGCCCCAAGGACTCGAGGACGCTCGCCAACCCCTTTCCGCCGTTCGGTCCGTGGCGCGGCCCGGGCCCGCGGCGGAGAGGAAACGTCATCGGATTCCGGGCGTACACACAAAAAAGGGAAAGGGGAACAAAGCGATTACTCTTTTTGCGAGCTGCGGGGTCCATTGCTGTCGGCGAGCCAGCGCCACGTTAATCCGTTATTCCAGTGGACCCGGCCCAAAATCTAGGCCCTTTTATCTGGATCGAAATACTGGCGTCGTTCCGGGCGGCACTCCGCGGGCAAGGAGCGCGAGGCGCGCGGAAAATCATTTTCCGAGGTCATGATGATAGGCCGACACCGTCCGGCCAACAGTGGGCCAGAAGACCGGTGGAGGCGGCCAAAATTCTCGACGCGTTTTGAGCTCCAGTCCTAAACGGCACTCGAACCGAACATGTGACCCCACCTCGTTCGGAGAGCAACCCGTGGGGTCACACGTTCGTTTAGAGTCCCATTTAGTGACTCTAGAGCTCAAAACGCGTCTAGAATTTTGGCCGCCTCCACCGGTCTTCTCACCCAGGGCCGTGCGTCCTCGGCTAACGCGCCGAGTCAACGCCGAAGGTCAATTCTGTCGCTGGGCTGGAAATGCCGCATGCCGCCAAAGTCAATATTTGATAATTCCAAGGTTTTATTAAGGATTTTGATTGCGTTCCACCGCGCAGAGCAGCTCTTGGGACGCCGGCGCAGATCGAGTACACCAACCCCCACCCCACCCCACCCCACCCCCCACCTCCGCCAGTTTGTAATTGTGCCCCACAAAAAGCAGCACTGGAGCGAGCAGCACAGCAGCAGCAAAGCGAACGAAGGCTTTTTGTCTCCACACCGCCAGGCCGCCTGGCGCATCTTGATTTCCAAACCTCCTCCTCCGGTTCGGTGAGCGAAGTTTGAAGCAGCGTTCGTCCGGACATTTGAAGAAAAAGAAACGAAATTGAGCTCGAAAAAAAAAGGGAGGCAACAGGAAGTTTAGAACGCGTGGGGCGACGGCACTGGAGAAGCAGTTAATAATATCAGCACGTTCGGCGCAGCCTTTCGTCACCGTCTCTCTCGCGCCTTTAGGGAGTGTGAAAGAGACAGAGAGACGAAAGTGATGTTCGGGATGGCTGTGCAGGCCCTGCAGGGCGAGCCTCGCTCCAGCACTCCGCTCCAGCGCTCCGGCCTGCATTCCAGCGCCTCCCAGCCGCGTTGTGCGCCGCGACGACGCCGTCCTCGCCGGCCTACTTGGGGCTGGGGGACTGACTCGGGGACTGGGCGTCGAGGAGGGGGGGGGGCAGCGCGACCGGAAAGAAAACCAATCCAATATTTATAACAGAGTCGTCTCTCTCGCATGAATGTGAGAGAGACACGGCGACGAGGGACGATTCGGAGTGGTGCCGCGGCAGCGAACGGCGGCGATGGGAAAAGTTTGGCACCAATAAAACACTGGGCAAAGAAGTCATTAAAATACAATAAAGGTACAGGCGGAACTTGGTTTTCCGTTCCGAAGCCCGAAGCTCGCGACGCTCGTTATGCAGAAGGTATAGCAATCGCCGGCAAGCCGCGTCATTCCCGCTTCCCCAAACTTTCTTTCTATCTCCGCATTGCCTGGCATTGCGAGGCTGGCGAGCCCCGGCCGAGCGGAGAGGGCGGGAGAGGGGCGCCTGGACGAGCGGCGAGGCGGGGATCAGCGCGCGTCAGCGCGGCCCTGCAAAGCCTGCAGGCTAGGCGAGCTAGTTTCCACTAAAATTCAGTTGATTTCCTTAGGAATGTTACTCCGTATAACCTTACCGTCAACAACTAACTAAGTCAATAGTTTAAGTCATTTTGACTGCGTTTTCTTTTTACGGTGTGCGCTCGCTGAAGCGCTCGAGTAGCGGCGCCCTTCTCCTCTGCTTTTCATTTTCATTTCGGCTGTTTGTTTTTTCGGGGCGGCCCGGCGAAACGCGGCGAAACGACATCACTGCTGATGAACCAAAGGCGAGTCTCGTCTTCTTCGCCGTCATATCATTATTTTTCCCTGGACGCGCCGCTCAAACGAACGTCGGACGGAGGGGGTGGGTGGAGCGTGGAGCACTCGGTGTCCTTCTTGTCGAAGCGTTCCCGGCATTCGCTTCGCACTCGCCGAAACGGGAGGCGGGGCGAGAACAAGGCGGCCGCACAGGTGGTAGACCGAGGCAGGCAGCCTTGCGGGTGGTGCTGGTCCACTGGCGGTGGAGGCCGCGGTGGCGATGGGGATCCGGGCTTGGGCGAGGCCAGGACCGGGCTCACGTTCAGGGTGGAGGGCCGCGGCAGGCATCCACAGAATGGGATTGCCCGAGTACCAGACTGAGCCCGGCTGGGCCCGGCGGCATGCGGGCCGGGGGAAGGGCGAGGGGTCAACCCTGCCGGGCTGCGGGGAATTTCCCTCATTCTTCCCCGCCAAAGGGCGCGCGCCTCGGCCGAGGAGGAGAAATTCCTCCAGGAAGCGGATTCCTCATTCCTCGTGAAGGCCAAGGCCGCCCGCTACAGTCCAAGCGCGTTTTGTTTGGAGCTCCGCGTCCGCGGCCGTGTCCGCGGCCACCTCAATGGTGACGATGGAGCCGGGGATAAAGCAGGGCGGCGAGCGGGCGGTGAAAAAGGAATTAGCGACAGGACATTGGGACGAATCTGTAACGAGGTTCTGTGGGGTCGCTGAAAAGGCCTGTAAAGTTTGATTTGTCCTTTATTTTTCCAACTAAGTTTCAAAGTGAGAGAGCCGGCCGCGGTGCGGCGGTCGCTGGCTTACCTGGAGCACCCGCAGCCTCAGCACCAGGTGGAAGGGGTACGACGGCTTCCTGGGCGGCGGGCTGCCGTTGTGCGTGTACGAGAAGGCGGCGTGGGCCGGCGACGTGGACGTGCTGACGAGCGCCTCGTCCGGCGGGCAGCCCGAGTCCCTCGACGTGGACACCTCGCTGGCCAGGGGCCGCAGGGAGTCCTTGCGGCCGCCGCCCGGCCCCACCTGCAGCAGCATCAATATTTAGCTTTTGTTAGCGAGCTGTAAAGGCAGGCATGGCTGCCGGCGATAAGGGTGAAAACCCCCCGCATGCACGCCGCGAGTGTGTGAGCGAGAGAGAGAGAGAGAGAGAGAGAGAGAGAGAGAGAGAGAGAGTGAGAGAGAGAGAGAGAGAGAGAGAGAGAGAGAGAGAGAGAGAGAGAGAGAGAGAGAGAGAGAGAGAGAGAGAGAGAGAACGAGCGAGGGAAAGAGAGGGGGCTACTCGCCGCCGACGTCGTGCACGTCCTCCTTTATTCCCTCTAAAAGCAGCCGAGGCGGCCCCGCCGCAAAACGACCCCATCTCGCCGTCGTCACGCCAGCCGGAGGAGGCTCCCTCCTCCCCCCACCCTCCTCCGCCTCCTTGAGAGCGCCTGGCGGGTAGGCAGTGCCGGCGCACAGCGCTGCGCGCGGCCGGGCCGGCTGCCTACCGCCACGGCGCTAGGCGCTCGCTGCACCGCGCAGCCAGAGTGAATCGTCTCCAGTATTTGCCCTGCCCGGCCCCATCGCCGTCCGCGTGTCTGTCTACCCCTTGTGCGGCACCGCCCCGCCCCGCCCCACTCGATCCTGGTACAGGGCGCGCCGAATGCCTTGCCTGCCTCCCCTGCCGTTAACATGCGAGCCGAGCGAGCTGCCTCCCCGACCTGGACCACTACACACCCCTCCTCAACCCTCCACGCCCGGCGGGCCGCACAGAGCCGACAGTGCCACCAGTGCCCCGCGCCGAGGGGAGCTTGTTCGCAAATCAGGCAAGTTTGGCGCCGCTGCTGCTACTCTGCGCCGTCCCCGCCGACGCCCTCGCCGAGGCCCTCGCGGCCCCCGCCCACCACGCGACCCGCTGCTGGGGGCGAAAAGACGAGGCCGCTGCTCTCTTCATCTCGTTACGCTGCCAGATGATGTCTGTTTGCCTGTCCGTCTGTCTGCCCGTCCGCCCGCCCGCCCGCCTCCGTGGCCTGCACTACTAATTCTATTCCCCCTGCAAGGCAGTCACTAGGCGGGGGCGGGGCGCGGGGCGGGGCGCGGGGCGCACGACGCGGGGGAATGGGAGGAAGCCGGTCCGGGCGACGCGGCGGAAATGGCACAAAGAGGCGGAGGAGGCTGCAGCCATCGCTAGCCTCTACGTCTCCAGCTCGGCATAGCGCGGCCGGGCCGCACAGCCAGCGCACCGAAATGAAATCATCCGGATGGCCCCCATCGGCAGCGCGACGACCCCGCGCCCCGCGCCCCGCTCCCCCACCGCACCTCGCACGCCTCCAACAAACTCACGCGACAACTCACGTAAATGGCGTGGCGTTTTCATGCGTCAAAATGCTGGTGGTCTTGCGAGGGTGTGCCGCCGGGCCGCGCGCCGCCACCTCAGCGTGTCCGTGCCTCCCTCCCTCCCCGTCGAGTAATCTCGTGTTCAGCCGGTCGCTGATAGGCTCACTTTTATACTCGCCAACTTTCCGACGCATTTTCGCGCGCGCCAATCCCCAGGGGTGGGTGTGGGTGCCCCCCCCCCCAGCCAATTGAGCCAAAGTCCACTGATGAGGAGAACCGGCTTCGATTGGCGCGATGTGGCAGCAGCCGACGGCCTTGGCGGCCTTGGCGGCAGCGGGGTACGGCTGGTGCGGCAGTCCTGCCGGAACAAACAGGATCCCCGGCATCCCGTCGAAGCAGTCGAAGGGTCCCGGCCGTCCCCCCATGGGCAGCTTCAAGCTCAGCTTCTCCAGCTTCTCGCGGGCCGGCCGGAAGTACGAGGGTCCTTGCCGCTTGCCCAAACATCGCCAGCCCCACCTGGCCCTCTCGCGTCGGCCCTGCACAGTGGGCCAGAGGACCGGGCGAGGCGGCCAAAACCCTAGACGCGTTTTGAGCTCCAGAGCTGCTAAACAGGACTCGAATCAAACGTTTGACCCCACCAATGGATTCCTCGTTTGGAGAGCAATCCATTCGTGGGGCCACACGTTTAGTTAGTGTCCGATTTAGTGACTCTGCACGCGTCCGGAATTTCGACCTTTTCCACCAGTCTTCTGGCCCACTGTGCCCTGTCACCCTGGCCGCTCCACTCTCCTTCTTCGCTCTTCGATCCCGCCCCAAGTTGCTCCATAAATAATTGCGCGCTAGTCCGGGCGGAGTGTGTACCTGACGACCTTGCAATTTGGGCCTCGTCCGCGGCGCGACACAAAAGACCGGCCCCCGCCCTCCCCGCCGCGCGCCACCACGTCAGCGGGCAACTCACGTTCAATTAATTTGAAGACTTGACGGGCACCCCGCCACCCGCCGCCCCCGCCTTGCTCCATATCTTCACGGCTGTCGCCATTTGTCCTTTGTGTGTGGGGCGGGGGGCACCTCCCTCGGTGGAAGTTCAGGACCGCGTCGACCCCTGCGCCCTCCCCCTCCCCCTCCACGTCCCGGTCGTCTACAAACAACATTCAAAAGCGAATAATTTATCCGGGGTCGGATCGCCAATCTCTGTGTTGGCAGCGCGGATCACTAACTCGGTTCGCGACAAAGGGGGCTGGCTGGCTGCTTGGCTGGCTGCTTGGCTGGCAGCCGCTACCCGGCGTGCCCTTCGCCATCAACATCAAGCCGGCCGTCAAGGCTGACGAGGCACGGCGAGCACGGAGAGGCTGCTCTTCTGCTCTGCCTTGCTGTGTCTGGCGAGAATGGAAACGGACAAAAAAGAGAGAGGCCCCTTGTCTCGCGGTCGTATTTCTGTCGCGAGGCGCAAAGAGCAGCGATCACTGTAACTCGACCCCCCCCCCCTCTCCCCCGTCCCCTCTGCAGCCTGCCTTTGAGCCACCGCCATTCATCCCCAGGCCTTGTTGAAGGGGAGCCCGCGCCTGCCGCGAGGGCCAGAGCCGCCACTGGCACATCCGATCGGAACCACTTCCCGCGCTGCGCCGCTCCAGGCCGCTCCAGGCCCTCGGCCCGCTGGAGAACGGGGACGTGTTTAATTCCAGCCAGTGTCGTCAAAGAAGCGCGCGCCTCGGCCGTTCCCGGAAGGCGGACAACTTGGCGGGGAACTACTGGAACGGCTGGAACGACACGCTGGAGCGCGCGCCGCTGGGTCGAGGCGGACGGCACTCTTGTGCTCCAACAGCGAGGCGGGGCTCTCGCTGGAAGGGCCGCCCCCGGCCGCGTGCCGCGTTCGATCACCCTGGAGCGCGGCCAGCCCGCCAGGGCACCGCCAGGCACGCCATGTAGCCGTCAGGGTCTCCAGGTCCCTGCAGGCCGGCTGGGGCCCTGGCCGAAGGGCGTCCCTGGGCCCTGCGCCCTGCGCCCTGCGCCCTGCGCCCTGCGCCCTTCCCCGGGAAGGCACCTGGACCGCCCTTCCGGCAGTTCAATCACGGGACAGGGCCCGCCTGGCCTGGCTGGCCTGGCTGGCCCTGCAAGGGACTCAAGCCCCGCGGGCACGGGTCAGGGGAGGGGGTGGGGGGCATTCAATGTGATCCGGCCCGCACAATGGCTGGCCAATGAGGTAAATAAACGATGGAGGAACCAAGTGGGGGGGAGGGTTAAAGTCGGACGAGCGAAAAATGCGAAAATACCGTCGGAGCCTAAACGAAGCAGGGCGGAGGCGGCCAGGGGCGAAGCGAAGCTCGTCCAAAGGTCACGTCACCACCGACAGGGACAAAACGACATGCCGCAAAAAACATTCGCACTCGATTGGTTTCAACAACACCGGGTATCCCCTGAAACCGCGAGCCGGTTGATTTTTCACAGCGGCTGGCCGAGAGCGGCCAGGGCCAGAGCGAGGGACGGGACGAAAACAGTTTTATGTCGTGCTGAATATTGCACACCTGCCAACGTTTCTTTCTTGTTGCCACAGCGGGATTGTATCGCGCCGTGTACAGTGGCGCGGCGTGTGCGAAGAGCCCCTATTGACTTTTTTGGACAGCAAATCAATCCGCGCGGCCCTCCCATGTCTGTGTTCCCCACTGACGCTGCGAACGCCGCCAAGCGCCGCCCAGCGCCCCCCGCCCGCCGGCGGCACTCGCGGGCACTCTCGCGGGCACTCGCGGGGCCCGGCGGAACTCTCGCAGGCCATCGCGGGCCCGGCTCTCGGGGGCCGGCAAGCGGCGCTGGGCGGCGCCGCTGGGCGCCGCGCAAGGCACAGCAATACAGCTGACTGGCAGACATGTTATCATCGCCCTGCAGGGCGTGGCGCGGCGTGGCGCGAGTTGGCGCCACCGCCCAGCACAACAACACCACCGCCATCCAGGCCGACATCCTGCCCCTCCCCCGAATCCGTTTTTCGCGTTATGCGGTCGTAAACAGCATGGGGACGTGTTCGAAGGGGGTGGATGTTTGCCGGCAGCAGCCGCCGCATTAGCGCTGCCGAAACCAGACCGTGGCCTACTTGGTGGCCTACTTGGTGGCGGGCTGGAACGCGGCCACAACGTGCCCGGCCGGGGCTGTATTCCTCCGGCCGCTGCCCCCCCCCCCGCCCCGCGCCCCACGCCGGAGAGGGAGGGGGTGGCCCCACGTGTTAGTCTGCCAAGCGTCAACTAGCTGTTCGCCGCGCTCCTCTGGTTACAATCCCCGTTGCCGCCCGGGGGTGGCGCCGGGGCGGGCCGGGGCGGGCCGGGGGCAGTTAATGGTGTCACCCCATCTAGTGCCTCGCGGCAGACGCGGCAGACGCGGTGCGACGTCAACGCGTTCGCCAAGTTACGATTAGAGAGCCACCTCGGACGGGCGGGCGGGCGCCTGCAGGACTCGTTCCGAAAGCCATGTTCCTCGCTCTGTCTCTCTCACTCTGTCTCTCTCGCTCACATGGATCGTCCTGCATAGGTGCGTGAGAGACGACGACGGAGACTACTCTCGGAATCAGTTTGCTGGGCGGGCCGTCGCCGTCGGCACCCTGTTCGCGCGATTGGATGAGCTCCGCCCTCCGCGCCCCAGGTACAGTACAGTACACTGTATAGTGCGTTGGCGTGGCGCGAATCAGGCCACGGTGCGGGAGGGACCGGGCCGCCTGCGAGGTAGGCAACACAGCCAGCCGCAACGGATGGGTGTGCGGCGGGCCGGCCTACCCTAGCGCCTTGTTGGCCGCCTTGTTGGCCGCCTTGTTGGCCGCCTTGTTGGCCGCCCTGTTGGCCGCCTTGTTGGCCGCCTTGTTGGCCGCCTTGTTGGCCGCCCTGTTGGCCGCCTTGTTGGCCGCCTTGTTGGCCGCCTTGTTGGCGAGACGCGCATCAGCCTCAGTGGCCTCAGCCTCCGCCACAGCGTGGGCTGCCCAAATTATCCGCACAAAGATGAAGTTTGGTAATAACGCAGTGGGCGGGCGGCGCCGAAAGGGGGCGGCCGACGGGGTTGTCGCGCTCCGGGCAGGCCGAGGGGCAGGCCGAGGAGTGCTTCTCCGTGGTGGACCGAGCGTGCCGCCGTCCGTCCCACCGCCCTTTTGCCGTCTTTCCGGGGGGTGCTCGTCGTCATAAAGAAACCACAACACGACACCATCATTACAAAGTTTGACTGAAAAAAATCTGTGGGGGAAAAGTGGCCGCCGGGTTCCTCGAGCCTGAGGGCTTGGAGGGCCTGGAGGCGGGTGGGCGAGTGAATCGCCATCAAGGAAGAACACAACGGACTGGTCCGGCGTGGCCCGGATGGCCATGGCCAGCTTGCTCTTACCGCCAAACTCGGACGTCGACCGCGGAGGGCTCGCGGGAGAGCGACTCGAAAAAGCAGCACCGGGCCAACTTCGTCAAAGCACTCCCGGGTGTAAACAGAGACCGGCAAAAAAAAAGACCGTCCCGATTTTTTGGGCTCCCTCCCATCCGGAGGCGAGGCGCGCCACTCTAAACGGCAGCGTGCACGAGAGCGCCAGAGCCTCGCCGGAAACGTGAACAGCCGGAAAGGGTGAGTTTTGTGTGACTTGATTCTCGCCTCCCCGGGAAGGGGCCTTGGCAACCCTGGCAGCGCTGGCGGGGCAGGCGGGGCAGGCGAGGCAGGCGGCCCTGACGGAGCTGGCAGCCCCCTGCTTGCCCTGCTTGCACAGCGCGCTGATTAACGCGGAGCGACGCGGAGTCGTGGCAGGAACATGGCGACACGACGCACCGGGGCACGCGGCCAGCCCCAACCCTCGCCCTCACCCTCGGTCGGGACATGATGAGCCTAAAAAACGGGGCGGCAAGCGCAAGCGAGAAGCGCCGCCTTGGGATCAAGAGCTGTGCGGCGGCTCGGCGCGGCGATCGTCGGCGCAGCGATCGACAACGCGCCCTGATTTCCATGCACGGCTGTGCGGGGCAGAGCGGGGCAGTGCGGGGCAGTGCGGGGAGGTGCGGTCTGGAGACGAGAGACGAGACAGGAGGGGGCAGACTGCTGCAGACTGCAGCAGACGGCGGGGTTGGTGGGCGCGGCGGCACGGCGCGGTCGCCAGGTTGACGTTGACATGTCTCCCGTGTTGACTGACACAGTGAAATGTTCCAGCGAGTGTTCATGCGTGCGTCCGGCAGTCCAATGCCGAGTCACGTCTGCACGTTTATTAAGAGCGCCTCAAAAATGCGAGGAAAAGAAGAAAAGAACCTAACCTAACCTAACCCAACCTAACCCAACCTAACCTAACCCAACCTAACCTAACCTAACCCAACCTAACCTAACCTAACCTAACCTAACCTCACCTAACCCAACCTAACGACCTAACCTAACTTTTGGCGGGTTGAAGAACAGAAGAAAATGCCCATTCCATCCCGTAAGAAATTTGAACTTTGAAGTTATTTTTACGCTATCTTAAGACCTTTACCTCTTTATTTTTGTCTGTGATTCCAATGTGTAAGTTTTAGTGGCAAACTTACAGCCGCATAGGGCTCCATTTTTACCCTCAGATTTAGAGGTGTTCTGGCGGAGGAAACCCCCAGCCCCGCCGCAGCCCGCGCCGTGCGGACATTATTCATTATGCATGCTGTCGGTGCAGGTACTCGTCGCGTCAGGCCGTCAGGCGCACGCCCCTTCGGCCCGTCACTAGCAGCACTAGCAGCACTAGCAGCACTAGCCAGCCTCGGCCGGAAAGGAAAATTAATTCATGAAGCCAGCCCGCCCAAGCCCGCCTCCCCGACGCACAGCGACGCACAGCGACGCACAGCGACGCACCCTCCCCGTCTGGTCCACGGTAGTCCGCGGTGGTCCGGCCTCGGACACCATTGACTCCATCCGGGTCGGCTGTAAGTTTGGCCGAGGGGCGGGTGGGTAACTTGTTGGACGGGAAGCCATGGCGGGGCTTTCGCAAAGGGAAGGAAAGACAGAGACAGGCCTCCGCCACGCTGCGCCCACTGCGCGCTGGGCGTGGGTGGCGGCCAGTGGCGGCGTGGTGGGCGCGGGGGAAGTCCGCCAACATTCTTTCCCTCTTGTTTCGCGTCTCACTGCTGCCTTAGTTTCGGTGAGGGTGGTGCGGAGTGAGGCGCGCTGGGCGTGGCGTGGCGTGGCGTCAACAGGTGGGGCGTGAGTGTGCACTGCGCACGAGTGTTTCCAACCTTGAGTGTGCTTGTGCATATGAACGCGTTGGTCACACTCCAAAGGCTCACCTCCGAGGTGGTGCAGAAGTAGCCCCTCTTGAGCATCCTGGGACTGCTATAGCGGTCGACGGTGGCCTCGCAGCGCGCGGCTAACACACACCCGCCGCACCGCCATCCTCACGAGGTGACACGGCGGCCGCGGACGACGCCGTGCCCGCGAGGACGCCGACGACGGCGTGTCTGCGCGTGCCCTCCATGGGCCCCAGCGCGTTGTGCACCGCTGTTGGCCACTGGTGTGTAATCCTTGGCGGGGAGGGCGCAGCGCGCAGGGTGAGCGCAGGGCGAGCGCAGCGAAGTCGCACTCGCGGTCCGAGCCGCTCGACGCGCGGGGCGAGGCGAGCCCTGCCGGGGGCGGTCTGCAGGGAGGCTGGGGGCGCGTCCGTTCGGGGCGACGGGCGGTCGGCAACTGGCGCTAGCGGCACGGCGCCAGCCCTGCCTGCTCGCCCTGCCCGCCCAGCCTCACACTGCACAAGGCCCTCAATGGAGAGGCCCAGCCCGGCTCAACACGGCTGGCCTGGACTCAGATAGGCGGGTAGGCCCAGTGCGCCTGGCTGCCTGGCTGGCTGCCTGGCCCACCCCCAAAACGCCCAACCAAGGGGCCGGAGAGGGAGGACGGGGCGAAGATCGGGGCGCAATGCGATGCCTCCTGTCGAGCGGGATGCGGAGCTCAGACTTGCAAGGGGCGATGTCGACTTGAAATAAGACACGTTTGTGGTAAAATATACAAGTTTATTGTAAAACATGATTCATACAATGCATTGTTGATTTATTTTAAATCATCATTGGACGCCTCTTGTAACAAAACAAAATATAGAGCTCTATAACTTTTATATAAAATATTTCAAAGATGTGGACTGATTCCATTCAAGTCATCAAGATCCTCTGATGAACACAAAAATAGAATTAAAAAGGATACAGAAAAATATAGATGCAACAATCCTTTGATCTGTACGTATAAGTTTAAAGTAAATACAACAGGAAATAAATATAATCTCTCATATTCAAGAATGCATTCTTAGCAGACTTATGACTGACTCAGTGGTTGGCCAGCGATAAACATTTTTCCATAAACAAACTAGACATTAACTTATGTCTGTTTTGGAATTGATAAAAGCAGAGAATCGGTAATAAATAATACATTTTGGCTTTTTAAAAATATGATCCTGATTTACAAAAAATATTACATAACATTACAGTCATCAAAATGTTAAACATTTCAAAATAACTAAGCATAAGAGTTATAAGATTAAATTATAAAGATTTGTATAAAGTACATATTAAAAATACATATGTACATTAGAATTGTTAAAACTATGATGGTCAAAAACATTAACTTGAGCACATTTAGAGGAGGCAGCCTTTACTCTAACTTAAAATAAGTAATCTGCTATCCTTCTAGATAACAATATAAGCTTCATTTGTCAAAAAAATAATTGAAAGATAAGCTGTGGTTTTCAGCTTCAACATGACACTCATTAACAACTAATTCCATCCGCACTTCTACATTACACTATCAGATCTCTTGATACACTCAATGACTTTTCGTTGCATTAAAAAAAAAAAAAAAAAACTCTGGAAACCAGAACCTAAGCCTATGGGTAAAACAATATACATGATGGCCAGGCCAAATATGATGGCCAAACATAAAATCACAAATCGATACCGTATTAATTTAAAATGCAGCACCAAAGTTGCATTTCATTATCAACTTCCGGTCTTCTCCTGAATAGTACATTTATTTTTGTATAACGGCAGTATGTAGCTGGGCTGAATTATCACCCGCTCACTATACACTTAGAGTTACGAATGTAAAAAAAATAATTCGTTTCGGGAAACGAGGAAACTTAAAATCGAACCTTACGTAACAACAGAGTCTCAAACAAAGTGTCACAAATACAAAACACGTACACAACTACACTCAGTGACCAGAATAGCTCATGACTCGAGTCGACGTAGCGCGTGGCGCGGGGCGCGGGGCGCGGGGCGGCGGCACGGCCTAGGTCCGCACCCGCTGCTGCAGGGTGATGTACTGCCTGATGAGGCGCGAGATCTCGTGCGCCTGGTCCGTCTGCAGCCGGGTGATCCTCTGCTGCATCAGGTTGCCACACTTCATGTCCAGGAACAGGGTGCCGTCCTCGGACTTGACCTTGCGCGTGGAAATCACCTCGGAGAACGGGTGGTGCAGCAGCGTCTCCTGCGGAAAGGAACGAGTTGTGGGAAAACGGTCGCCTTGTTGACGGGGCGGTGGCGGGAGGGGCGGTACTCACGTGGGTCACGATGTCGATGAAGTGCACACCGTGGCGGTTCAGCGCCAGGATGTGGTCGGCGCGCTCCTTGGGGTCGGACACGCGCTTCACGGCGAAGAAGCTCGAGCCGAACAGCGGCCACCGGCTCAGCATCTCTGCGGGGGCAGGCGGGCGTTAGCGTGCAACGCGATGGCGAGGCTCTTAAAAGACAGCGTGCATGTGTCGTGCGACTTACCCAAGACCTGCGCCTTGGCCTGGATGGTCTCCAGCCCCTGCACCTCGCCCCAGCTGCTCTGCACCATGTTGACCCACTGCGCGGGCTTGATGTCCCGCACCGTGAGGGCGGGCTTGGGCAGCAGGAACTTGGTCTCCTTCATGGCAGGCACGTGCGCCATGTCCGCGGCGCGGTGCAGCAGCGCCGCCATCTTGGCGATCTCGTACTGCAACACGGAACAGAGAAGGTGAGCACGGGTTCGAGCATGGCCTCCGGGTTCTCCTCTCGAGGGGCGCTACTTACGATGGTATCTTGCTGCAGGGTCTCGCCGGGCATGACCAGCAGCAGGCCCTCCAGGTAGTCGGGCGCGATCTGGTTGAAGACGACCTCGACGTAGAGGTGCGAGTCGAGGCGCAGAGGGAAGTGCCAGACGGAGCGGCAGAAGATGAGGTAGAACACCTGCTGGTTCTTGTGCAGCTCCGTGGTCACGTCCAGGATGTACTCCTCGCGCGCCAGCGGCATGGTGAAGGTGTCGCCCTCCACGATGCAGTAGAGCGAGAACTCCTCCATCTCCTGCGGCGACGCCACGTTGATGACGCTGCAGATCTCCTCGATGACGTCCTGCACCACGGTGGTGGAGCGCGTGTTGACGACGCGCTCGGTGCCGCCGGGCAGCCGGTACATCTGCCGCTTGGAGTTGCGGCCCGCGCTGATGGCCGTGATCTCCTCCACGCTGGGCACGTTCTTGCGGCCGCCGTACTTGAAGGTCTTGCGCAGGTTCTGGAGGCACACCATGGCCGTGCCTGCAACAACGAGAGCGCCGTCGTCATCGATCCAGGGCCCGGGACTTAGGGGCGATTACCCGCACTTCCCGTCAGAATACGGCGCGGCCGTCCGCCACCGCCACTCCGCCGGAAAGAGGGAAAGAGGACAACAAGCCCGCGCTGCCGGGCGCTGCCGGGGACAGAGAGAGAGACAGCTGATGAGGAGTTAAAACCCCGGAAAGCCGCAGGCAGCCACAGGCAGCTGGCCCAGGCGCGCGCTGGCGCGGCTCTCGCATCCGGCCGGCGGGCTGCCCCTCTGCCCCTGTGCCCCTCGGCCTGTCCAGAGCCGCGCAAACTTTTCTGCCGCCGAGAGGAACAAGTCCTTTGAGGCAGTCTGTCGCGCCCTGCCCCGGCCCTGCCGCCGTCAGCGCCTCTCTGGCCAGCACTGCGGAAATGAAATCTCTTTCTCTTCCCTCCGTCCGGGGCCTGGGCAGCCTGGACAGCCTGGCCGGGCTTCACGTCGACGCGGTGCCCACGCCGCCGAGGGGGCGGCGATGACAGCACCGCCACATCGCCGCCACTCCGCCAGCTTGGCGGGGATCATGGACTCACCGTGATAGGCGCGCCGCTTGTCGTAGGCCGCCGTCTCGAGGTACTTGAAGAGGTAGGGCTTGAGCGTGTCCGAGCAGGCGAAGTAGGCCGCCACGATGGAGAAGAGCCGCCAGCCGCGCTGGCACGACTCGGGCTGCTGCGACTTGTTGTTGGTGGTCTGCTTCATGAGGTGGCAGTACACCTCGTCGCGGAGGGCCTCGTGCTTGTGGCAGTGCTGCAGCAAAATGAATAGCAGGGTGTCCATAAAACGAAACGCCTTTTGTTTTCGTCCGGGCGGGTGTCGCCGACCCCATAGATTTAACTGGCTGCGACGAGCAAAACCCAATCCAAACGAGGTCCGGAGACTGGAAGAGAATAAACGGAATAAACCACCCCCTGCCCATTCCCCTTGGCGGGGTGCCGCCACCAAACACGAGTGGAGCAATCTCTGGGGGGCTCCGCACGCCCCGCCCCGCCCCGCCCCACCAGGGCCCGAGCGAAGGGCCGGCCCATCCCACTAGCTTTATTCCTCCCCGACAGTACCGCCAGTGATCCTGCTGGACATCTCGTCTCGACACTGGACAGTCTGGACAGTCCGGACCGGCCGAGTGAATCGAACCGCGCCAATCAGAGGGCAGCGTCCCCGCCACCCTTAACGGCGCAGGCCCGAATAAAGAATAAAGCCAACGGCAACTACATCGCGTGTCCACCACTGGAAATCCTCGCCGAGCCTCCCCCGGGAACAGAGACAGCGCGTCGCCTGTCCTTTTATCTCTCTCTTTTTTTATCGCCAACAGCGAAGCCTCCCAGATACAACGGTGAGAACAGAACAGAATGACAAGATTGGCCGCGTCGCTTCATCACTGTCAACGGTTCGCATCCCGGCAGCGGCACATTTTTTCCTTCTCTCTCTCTCTCTCTCTTTATATTTCATTTTATTTTTATCTCCTACTAAGTACAAATGTTTTCTCTTACCTAGCTAGTAATAATATGCTGTTTTATTTTTATGTTTTGTATCTTTTCTTTATACTTAATGTGACTTTTTGCTCTCATTACTTTTAAATGTTTTCTTTTATTTAGCATGTAAGAATTGGCTGACTGATAGCTTCCCAACGTGCCATGCCTAATCTATGAGTGTGGGAAATGTCTTGATGTTGAGAGATTATGTTAAGAAAATCACTGCGGAACAACCAACTAAATTTAAAATTGTACATATAAATGCTCAATCGTTAAGAGATATTTCACATCAATCTGAATTTATTGATACCTTTTCTGACTGTGGCATTGATGTCATAGTGGTGTCTGAGACGTGGTTTAGAAATAATGAAAATGTACTTCAGCTTCCAGGTTACAAAATGTTTGGAGCCAATCGAATAGGAAGAAATGGAGGTGGAGTGGCTGTCTATGTAAAAACGTTATACTCTGTGAAAGTACTGTCTGTTTCAGAAGGAGATTACGAGAAGCCAGATTTTATTCTGCTTGACATTCTGGTGGGTACAAATAAAATTCTGCTGGCAGCTATGTACAGGAAGCCAAAGGGTGGTCACGTGAGTACTTTTATCGAGGAATTCTATAAATTCTCACCAGGATTCAAATACTCTTTTCTTTGTGGGGACCTCAATGCAGGTTTTGGCAGGGGAGGGGATGATGCTCTTGTAGTGCCTGAATTACTTAGTCTTTGTAACTTATATTGTGTTCCTCATCAGGCAACCTACCATGTTAATAATTGTGACTCTATTTTAGACGTTATTTGCAGTAACTGTCCTGACAAACTAGTCACGTGTGGACAAACCTCTGCTTCTGGTTTTTCTTCCCATGATATGATTAGTGCTGTTTTTGATCTGTCCACCCCACGTAATGTTAAGCAAGAGCTAACTTTTAGAAACTTTAGTAGGGTAAACGTGGAGGAACTGTTAAGTGATGTAGAGAACTCAGACTGGAGTCAAGTTTATACGGAGAGTAATATAGACGACAAAGTGGATAAATTTAATTGTATCTTCAACAAACTCATGGATGATCATGCACCTGTAAGTACTAAGACCATAAAGAAAAATTCTGCTCCATGGATGGATAACACAATTCGAGGTCTGATTAAACAGAGAAATAAGCTCAAAAAAATTCACAACAGAACCGACAGTCCGGATGACTTGGATAATTTTAAAAGGGCCCGAAATAGAGTGAAAAGAATGATTCGTAGTGCAAAGATGAAATACTTTTATGAGAAGTTTGAGAATGGAAGGGACTCCAAGTCGATCTGGAATACAATTAGATCTCTAAATGTAGGCAAGTCTAAAGATAAACACCCTGACCCAGTGGTGGGTGCATCTGATCTTAATAAACATTATGCCTCCGTATCATCTGTAAGAAACGAAGAGCTTATACGTGATACTGTATTGAAATATAAGATGAGAACAGGAAAAGATAAGTCGTCTGATATTATGGATAAATTCCATTTTAGGTATGTACTACCTGAGCAAATTGTTAAAGCTGTTTACTCTATAAAGTCAAAGGCTGTTGGGGTGGATGGTATCTCAGTATTGTTCATTAAAATGTGCTTACCAGCTTTGTTACCTGTACTTGATCATCTGTTCAATTTTAGCCTACAAAATGGTTTGTATCCTGATATATGGAAGAGGGCCAATATTATACCAATACCAAAGGTGAAAATCCCAAAGAGAGTAAGGATTACAGGCCAGTCAGCATACTGTGCGTGCTGGGTAAGATTCTGGAAAAACTAGTGCACTCTCAAGTCACAGAGTTTTTGAATGATAAAAAGCTTTTTGCAGAAAACCAGTCTGGATTTAGAAAGGGTTTTAGTACTGTTACCGCACTGCTAAAAGTCACTGATGATATCAGAGAAGCCATTGACAAGAGACTTCTATCTTTATTGGTGTTGTTAGATCTAAGCAAAGCCTTTGACTGTGTCCATCATGAACTACTATGTACCAAACTGGAGTGCCTAGGTTTCTCAAAGTCCGCTATAAATTGGTTCCGGTCATATCTCACCATGCGCTGTCATAGAGTTGTCGTGGCATCAGATCAAATGTCTGACTGGGCTGAGATCACCACAGGGGTACCACAGGGCAGTGTGCTGGGACCATTGCTGTTCCTTATATATTTATTTGATCTCCCTACTGTTTTAAAGCATTGTAAATACGTGATGTATGCTGATGACATACAGCTATATATTCACTTTCCTTTGAATGCCTTGGATGATAACTTGAACTATCTAAGAAGCGATATGGTGAATATAATAGATTATTGTGAAAAGCATAATTTATTGCTAAATGTATCAAAGACTCAATCCATTATATTAGGATCCCAAAGATTTCTAAATATTTTATCCAGGATGACTGTTACAGAGCTGATTGTCAATGACTGTGTCATTCCATATAAGAGTACTGTTAATAATCTAGGAGTGTTGTTCGATGGATCACTGAGCTGGACCGACCAATGCACTTTGTTAATACAGAAAATATTAGGAACTTTAGCACAGCTGAGGCGGTCGTTCTCTTTTATACCTCCAAATATTAGGAAAATGCTGATCATGACCCTGGTGATGCCTCATCTTGACTATGCCTCTGCACTTTTTACTGATATTACTGACTGTAATAATGCTAGACTGCAAAGAGTGCAAAATGCATGTGTGCGTTTCATAACTGGAGCCTCCAGATTTGAGCACATTACACCCTATTATGACAAGTTACAGTTTCTAAAAATCGAAAATAGAAGGGCTTTGGCTGTTGCTCTGATGGTCTTTAAAATTATTAAGTCAGAAACCCCAGCATACTTATTTGAGAAATACAAATTTATATCTACAAGTAATAGATGCTCCACTAGGTCAAGCAAGTTACAGTTACAAATACCTATTCACAGAACAGAAAAATATCATAATTCATTTCTCCTACAGTCTAGCAAAATGTGGAACGACCTCCACCTTTATGAGCACCTGGGCAGATCTGTTAACTTTGTGAAAAATCTCGTTGAAAAGAGCTTATCCTCCTTATGACCTCATGCGACCATGTCTGTTGTGATGTGATTCTTGTTCATAATGTAACCAAATAGACAAAATATTTTTTATACAAGCTAATTACGTTGTTCCTTTAGTTTATAAGTGATTACGATCGTTTCTTTTAAAACCAAATTAGAGTACAAACTATTTTTGTATAATTAATTATGTTGTTCCATTAGTTTAAGGTGTCCTTTGCGACAAGCATATAAGTGTTTATCTCTATTTTTCGTTTATAACTATTTTTATCATGAATTTGTAATTATTGATTTGGAGGGCGGGCTTGCATGCCAGTGGCACTCTTAAGTGCTTGTTTGTAAGTCCTTAACAATAAATCAAATCAAATCAAATCAAATCTCTCGCCTGCTGACAGCTCTTCCACAAAGTCTTCCTACACCCCGCCGCGCGCCTCCTCGGCCGCTTCCTCGCACCCGCCCCTTGCAGTGCAGTGTCTCCCTCACTCACCGGGCGCCTCGTAGGGGTGCGGGAGAGACGGGACGACGAGGCGCTGCTGGTCCCCACGTAGAGCAACCCGTGTGGAACGCGATCGCAGATTGGGGTCTGAACAGTGTCATAATGGCACTACCCCACGACGACGTCAGTACGACCTCAGTCTGACGCCTCTCGTACGCCAGTGTGGCGATCGGGGCTAGTCTCTGTGGTCAGAGTCGGCGTCCAACTGGCGTCGTAATGCCGTCGTGCTGCCGTCGTCTTTGGGTCGCAAAAAAGTTCGTTTTTCGGACGCTAGTCAGACACCAGTACGACGTCGCTTTTTCAGCGCGAAAAATGTCGCGCGACCGTCAAAACAACCGGCTGGGAGTGTGTCGAACACAGAACTCCCGCGTCGAATGTCGGTGCCCGAACCCGCTGGGCCAGAGCGACTTCGTTGAGGGCGGGGGGACCGCAGCTCTAGTCTTCTTGACTCGACCCACCATGGCACGGGCCACAGAGTATTGACGCCAGAGTACTATTTCTTTCCGGCCATCGGATGCGGTACGCACGAGTTGAACCGATATCAAATACACATTTAACCTAGTTGTCATGCTCTGTAAATCTGTTGGCCGTAGGCTATCTGTAGTTGCTCGCTGCGAAAGAAACATAGCAAAAGAGATGCTGTACTCGTGGCCCGTGCCATGGTGGGTCGAGTCAAGAAGACTAGAGCTGCGGTCCCCCCGCCCTCAACGAAGTCGCTCTGGCCCAGCGGGTTCGGGCACCGACATTCGACGCGGGAGTTCTGTGTTCGACACACTCCCAGCCGGTTGTTTTGACGGTCGCGCGACATTTTTCGCGCTGAAAAAGCGACGTCGTACTGGTGTCTGACTAGCGTCCGAAAAACGAACTTTTTTGCGACCCAAAGACGACGGCAGCACGACGGCATTACGACGCCAGTTGGACGCCGACTCTGACCACAGAGACTAGCCCCGATCGCCACACTGGCGTACGAGAGGCGTCAGACTGAGGTCGTACTGACGTCGTCGTGGGGTAGTGCCATTATGACACTGTTCAGACCCCAATCTGCGATCGCGTTCCACACGGGAAGGACCTGCGCTGCTGCCCAACCTGACCCCGCCGAAGCCCCGGCGCCCCTTCCACCTCGAAGCGCCCGTTTTAATCCCCCTCCCCCTCCCCCGGTCAAAACGGCTACGTGCTTTATAGATGAGGCCGTGGGCGGGGCGGCGGGGCGCGGGGGCGGCGCAAGACCCCATGCACCATCAACCCCGTCGTCGTAAGGCCGGCGGCAGTTATGCAGCTCATGAAGCATTCGGGGAGGGAGAGGGGCTCAGCCCGAGTGGAAGCCCGCCCCCGTCCCGTCCCCGCCCCGTTGGAGGCAAAACCGTCTGCCTCCCCCTCCAATGTGACGCTCGCCGTGCCGTCGTGCCGTCCGGCCGCAAACAACGCGGTTCCGCTACATCGAGGCGGAAATGGAGCACGCGTTGCTAATGGCAACGGCAACGGCCGCGCTGGAGGCTGCACGCTGCAAGCCGGGATGGCCCTCGCCCTGGCCCTTCCTTACCATGAGCACGGTGTAGACGCACTTGACCTCGGTGATGTCCGTGGTCATCGGCAGGTCACCCATGTACCGCATCACGCACACGAAGCACTCGACGGCCAGCTCGCTGACCTCGTCGGTCTCCAGGCGCAGCAGGGACTGCTCGATGGGCCGCGGCGAGAACTTGACGAGGTCCACCTGTGAAAAACAAAAAACACAAAAGCATTGTTGATGTTGTTGGTTTACATTTGCACGGTGGGTTTTATTGGGTGATTGGTTGGGTCCACCGTACCTGCTCCTTCCACGTCCATTCGTTCTCCTTGTTGCCTTTGCTCTTGCCCTTGTTCTTCTTGTTGTTCTTAAGGCTCTCGATGACGTCCAGCGAGCCGCTGATGGAGCCGTCTGCGGTCTTGAGCATCTCAAACCTGAAAGGTAAACACAGAGTTTTACGGTTTGGTCTCTCCCACCACGCGGCTGGCCGGCCAGCACAAACATTTGGGCTGCAATACACCAAGCCAAACGTTGTGGAAAGGAGAAATAATCTGTGTGCACACTAACTTCTCCGGGCTCTGTCGGAAGTGGTGGATGGCGAACTGAAGCAGCGAGTGCTTGCCGTCGTGCACCTGGGCGCCCGGGCCGACGCCCTGGCCGGCGCCGTGCTCGGACAGGGGCGACGGCAGCGAGCTGGGCCCGTGGCCGTTGACGGCGTGGCCGTTGAGATGGCCGTTGTGGTGGCCGTGGCCGTTGACGGGGTGCCCGTTGGCCATGGCGGGCGGCATGGAGGCGGGGCCATGCTGGTGCTGCTGGTGCTGCTGTGGCTGTGCCTGGTGAGGCGGCTGGGGCTGCGGCGCCACGCGCCCCGTCCACCCGTCCATGGACTGCTTGCGGTGGTCCGGCTGGAAGGACTCCAGTCGCCCGCTCCGCTGCAACAAAAACAAGAGGGGGACGTCAGCAACGGGAGTCTGCGGTCCGGCGGCACGCAACACCGCGGACGTGAACAAGTGCACCGCGGCGGTGGAGGCGCGGCGCATCAGCGCGAGTTTTCCGGCGCCGGCAGCCAAATCCGTGTCGATTCGTTGAAGCCAGCCCACTGGTAATGAGTGAGAGAGACGGACGTGCGCGGCCGCAAGGCGAGAGACGCACATTCGGCGGGCCGTTAAAATTAAACACCCTGGGCTGGGGCTGTCCGGCCAGGTGTCGGTCGAGGCGGTAATATCCGCGCCAGGCCCGCCAGCCCGCCAGGCCCCAATCAATCAAGGCTCCCCCCGCCGTGTTATTAGGGGGCTGTACGGCCCGGTACGGCCGGCAGGAGGGAAACTGGGCCATACGCGAAGAAGCGCGGCCAATCTTTATTTCGCACTCGTTCGAGGAGGTAAGTGTCAAGAGCGTCGACGCCGCGCCGCGTCCTGGATATGGGAGAAACCGTCATCGCCACGGTGACGCGCTGCGCGCGCTGCGGCCCGGCGGGGTGCACGCCAAGCGAGCCCTCACGGACGCCGTCGGGCGGACGGACAGCATCGGAAGCAAATTCAAACGGGGCCGGGCGGACGGGACGGACGGGCTTGGCGCCGTACAAGGCAGGCGGCTCCAGTAATTGACGGCGCTGCCCGCCCCGCCGGACTTCTCCGTGCTCCGGACGGACGGACGGACGGATTCCGGGCAAGTCGCACAGCAAGTTGTCCAGTGCAGTGCGCTATGTGGCACAGTCTCGCGGCGCGCATCTCTCTGGCTCGGCATTCGACGGCATTCGCCATTACGGGGCGTCATCGCCGAGAAAGTTTACAACAAGCGTCGTTACGCAGCCCCAGCCCCAGGCCCCAGAGCGACGCGGAGGACGCCGGTCTCGGAGGTGGTGTCCGGGAGGACCGCGGCGCTGCCGCCGGGAGGCGCTCGTCGTGCTCGTCCACCTGCTTCACGTCGCAGGCGGCGGGCACGCGCGCGCCCCACTTGTACCCCGCCGTGTCGCCGTGTCGCCGCATGACGTTGTTGCACCGGTCACCAGGACCGTACAGTTATGGCGGCGGAAGCTCGGGTTTCTGCGGCACGGCGACGCGGCGACACTGCGACGGGATCGACCGGGCGGGGGACGGTGGAGCGGAAGCAGCGCTGCAGCCCGCCGACCCGACCTGGGCCTTAATGGCGGACCAGGCACACCGGAAGAATAAACTGAAGCGCGCGGCAGGGCGGGGCGGGGCTTCGAACCCGCGCCGCGTACCGCGCGCTTCGTCACCGTCACAAACTTTGGGCGAACCGCTCGCTCCGCTCCGCAAGCCTACTAGGGCCTCCAGAGCCAGGCACGACGGCACGACGGCACGACACATGACGCGCGGCAAAAGCGGCGGTGGCAGCAGCCTGGGGGTGGAGTGGGGCGGGGCGGGGCGCAGAGCTCGCTAAGTGGCGTCTGATGTTTCCACAGCGCGTGCCGTCGACGCGAGACGCGACGCCGCCACGCCCACCGTGCCAGCAACAAGGAGCTCCAGGCGGCCGCCGTTCGCAGAGCCGCGTATCTGCCGCCGCCGCGCCGCCACATACGGCCTTCTCGCGCGGCGCTCGCAGACGGCCGGCGCCTGCCCGGCGGCCGTGCCCCCAGCGCCCACGAGGAGGCAGGGACCCGGAGGGAACGCGGCACGCAACAGAAAATGAAAATGAAATTGACGAGCCGATCGCCGCCAAGAGGCTGCCGCCGCTTCCACACTTTTCACTTTTCCGCGGCTCCGCGGCCGTCGCCAAGGCCGTCGCCGACGTGAGGCTGCAGGCCACGCGTGTGTCTCTCCCTCTCCTCCACTTGCTGTCCCTGTTTTATTGTCGCCCGGAGAGTCCTACAGTCCTGCTTCCCGTTTCCCCCGATGGGCGCGCGGACTCCGAGCCAAACCGCTCGAAATCCCAGCCCAGCAACCTGATTCCAGGTTTCAGGTCTCTCTCGCACTCACGGGGCACCCTGTATGGGTGCGAGAGAGACAGGCCCACGATCGGCCGCGGGGCCCAGTCAAGTGACACGGTCATGCGCCACGGCCCATGCCGGCGACACTGGCGCCGAAAACGAGAGTCCAAACGGCGGTCGGCGACATTATCTCACAGCCGGGGCCCAGCGGGCACCCCCAGGCCCAGCCCGCCATGAATCAAGGACCGGCGACAGTGAGGGCTTTAACCTCGCGGGGCTGGGCGCCTTGAGCCGCGCGCGACGCGACGCGGGGACAAAGCAGGGCCAAGCAGGGGGTCTTGTGCTGCCGCCGGCGTCGCCTCGACTTAGCATCCGCGCCGGACAGCCGCCCCGAGACCGAGACAACAATAGCACGCTGTGGCCGCGCCACCCGGATTAAGGCAGAGGGGCCAGCAGCCACCACACTATCGGGGCGTTCCAGCGGGGCGTTCCAGAGGGGCGTGCTCCACACTAGCTGGGTTTCCAGGCCAGCAGCCCCAAGGCTGCCTCGAACTGACCGTTCTCAATAATAACGGCGACGTGCCGGCGCCTCATCGCGTCCCGCCGGCAGCCCAGCAGACTCATTCTGAGTCATCTGTCTCTCTCACTCTTACAGGGGACGCCCCATGAGTGCGAGGGAGACAGAACGACGAAAACGACTCTCGGAGTCAGTCTGCGGGCCGCGGCGTAGAGGACGCGGCGCACGTCCTGCGAGGGACGCCGAACCGGGACGAGCCGGACGACCGACGCCGCCGTCGTGGACGCCGCAGCGGCAGCACTCGCCATCGCTGAATAATTAGGACCGCCAGTTAATGAACACGGCGGGGACGACGCCGTGCAGGCGGTTACGTTCGGCGACCACGGCGACGCGACGGCGAGGAGGGGTGCGAGGGTCAAGAGCCGCGTGCCGTCGCGTCAAAGAGCTCGTCGAACGGCCGCTGGACACGAAGAGAAAACAGTCCGCGCGTTTTGGCCCTCGCCGCCCTCGCGCCGCCGAGGCCCCGTTCCCCTTGTCGAGTGTGGGGCGCCCGCTCCCACTGGCAGTGAACATCACCTCATCGGTGGTTCCGACTCCGACTCGCGTCATCCTTGACCGCGTAAAGCATGCAGGATTGAAAAATGAAACGAAAATACGGAAAGGCACGCCCGTGACACGCCTCGACTGATACGGAGGAATGCCGATGATGGGCCGATTCGCTCTCACCGCCCCGCAGTGCCCCGCCCCGCCGGCCGGGTCGGCGCGTGCGGGTCCGTCCGCACGCAACGCAACGCAACACGCCCAAGTGGCGCACGGCCGCACGGCCGAGGCGAGGCGAGGCGAGGCGAGGCGCGGAGGGCGACGAGCAGGAAAAAGTTGGAAATAACTCCGCACCAATTCACTTTCAAATAGCTTCTCGCCTGCTTTTCGGCGGGGCCTGCTGCCGCTGCTGCCGGGCGCGCGGCCGGGCGAGACGCGGCAAAAGGAGGAAAAGGGGAGGGGGCGGCAAATGAACGGCGGTAAAGCAAGCCAAGCAAGCCAAGCAAGCCTAGCAAGCCGCGGCGGCCAAGGCAGAGCAAGAAACGGAGTCATCCGTCTAATCACGCCGAGACGCGCCCGGCCGGCCCCAGTGTCAGGTTCAGCCGCTAATTAAACGGACTCCATTTCACCTCGACGGCATCGAGGACGGCATGGCGGTGCACGGCCCGGCGCGGCCCGCTCCAGTGCCGCCGTTTCGCGAGGCTCTCACGCCCCTCCGTTCGGCCACGCCTCAAGTGCAGCAGAGACTGACTCCGAGAGTCGTTGGCGTCGCTCTGTCTCTCTCGCACTCACGAAGCGTCCCGCATGGGTGCGAGAGAGACAGAGCGACGAAAACGCGACTCTCGGAGTCAGCCTGCAGGGCAAGTCAAGAGGTGGCCGAGACGGAGCAAGGGGCGGCGTAGGCAGGCCCGCCAGACAGTGCTCGCGGCGGGCGGCCTACCCTCGGTCCGTCAGGCGCTCCCCCCGCTGCGCGCGCTGCGCCCGCTCCGCCCGCTCCAGCTCCGAACTCTCCGCGTGGAAATTAAAACGGCCGGGCGGAGGGAAGCGATTAGCGGGTGAATGGGCGAGTGGCGGCCGAGGATGATTGAATGCGCGAACCGCGCCAACGGGCCGCGCCGCCGGGGTCGCCGATCCCGTAAGTAAGTTGGCGCGCATTGTGCGAGAGCGAGAGAGAGAGAGAGATGCTTATCGCTCGCCGCGGCTCTCGCTTGCATAACTTTCCCGGCGGACCGCGGTGCCTTGTCGCGGCGGAAAGCGGCAGCTCCTCCAGTGGCACTGCCGGCCCGCCCGACAGCTCGCCTCCCGAAACTTGGTCGCTCGAGCACCGCCGTCCGGGAAGCGATCTAACGAATCGGACGATCGGAAAGAAGCTCGTTGAGCCAAAGGGCGGACGGACAGTGTACTACAGTGTGCGGCCGCGGCGGTCGGTTCTGCGGCGACCTTGAACACAGCCTGCAAACAGTCCAGTTAACCCCGTTCGCTTCCGACGGGGCTCGCCGCCCTGGCCGCCCTGGCCGCAAAACCGCGGTGGGGGCGGCCAAGGGAGCGCGGCCGCCTCTCTGCAGTGCCGTGCCGCGCCGCGCCGCCCGCTCCGCATCCAAACGGTTTGTTTGGGAATCGCGCGTTAACGGCGGGGCGGCGGGCCGGCCCCGCAAAGCCACAGCTGCCGCACCGCAGCCGGCACGCCGCGGCACGCCGGGAAAAGTAGCTCTAGGTCTCATTAGGGCGCGTTTTGGGAATAAGACACCGCTTTCGTCGCTCTGTCTCGCTCGCACTCACGGGGCGGTCCGCGCGCCGCGAGAGAGACAGAGCGGAATCAGTGCGCAGTGCCTCATCCTGGCGCACCAAAGCCAGCGGACCGGCGCGACATGCTCCGCCTTTCTTCTGCGTTTTTCTGGTTTTACTTTTCAGCGGCCACTACACTGATTCCGAGTGGGCGTGCCATGAGGCGGCGCCGCTCCGTCCCCTTTCGACACCGCGCCTCG